CGAAACATGGTGCAGGACACTTAAACGATACGCCCATCTTTGCCATCTGCTTCAGCTAATCGCTTAAATGGTTTGTTGGTTAGTTAACACTTTAGGAGGGCAATTAATTGGTTACTTTACCCGAAAATCCAGATGGATTTTATATTTACACGTGGTTATTCCTTCAAAACAATCGGCCACGATTTTTTTCCTGACCGAAACCCACTAGAATGATGTAGTAGGATCAATCACCTGTCGGTCTGAATAACGGATGTTGACCGTTGGATGCATCACTCTGAGAACAATTTCGTCCATGTGAAAAAAACACTTCGTGCATCAGTTTGTTCCTAGCTATATTGTACAAAAGGAGATAAGATCATCAGCCCTTAAAAAGCTCATAAAGCAACTTACTTTTTCCGTCTACCTTGCTGTGATATTTCCTTAAAACGCTTCACTGCTAACTGGCGACTTTCCAAAAGGCACATCTGTCGTCGAACCGGAAGCAGAAAAGAAAAGTAGATGGCATTGCTGGTGCTGGTGAAAGCCTCAAGAGTCTCCACAGTGTGTGTCTTTATGTGTCTACAACTTTTTTACATAATTTTTTTAAACTGTTCTCTCCAACCGTAATACCTAGGAACCAGCGACCATGGTTTGTGGTGTCGCTGTTCAAATTCTACGAAAGGAGTCGAGGAAAGAAAAGTTGTAAGATATGTTTGTTAAAAGTTTCTGTGATACAGTATGCACAAACGGATATATTTATTTTCAAGAGAATACAATTTTAGTGGCTTGATTGTCGCGTTTGACTTGGTGGCTGGGAAATACAAATAAAAGCCCAATCAACTCCAACTTGAGCATGTGTCCAGGAGAAGCTAGATCCCATTTTTCTGGGTAGGTGTGTATGGCTAACAACTTTTCGGCAATGCAATGTTTAAACCCATATTATCCGACAATCTGTCTTGCTAAATGATCTTGATCGGCCCTAACTGGTTATTCATCTTACCGATAGCCTGTGTTCACAATTCGCAACTTTTCAGGAACCGTTTTTAGTGAATGAAGTGTACATATTTACCGAAAATACTTGCTCACCTGAAGTGAGTCCCAGAACGGTTCGGTTAGCCATTTAATGATAATTTAATATCGACGATAATTTGGACCATTCTAGCTTCATCGGGCACCAACTGTGACTACGAACACAGATCCGGATATTTGGTAGGCCATTTTTCTAGGATGAGAGCAACTGACCACAGGTTTCGAAGTGGTCCCTTGTAGTCTTCAGGGTAGCTTTTCTGTCTGGGATGCCGCGGTAGGATGACAGACAGGTGCTTCAAAGGTAAGAGATATAAAACAGGCTTCCACAACAGTTGCAAATGTTGTTGGGCAAGACCGAGAGCGTCTGAGTGCGAGTCCTGTCAGAAAGCAAATCCTTGCTCCAATCGAACACCTTCTGACGCTAAAGGTGACCGTGCTACTCCAAGAGCGAAAAATTGCTTCAAATCCAGGCCAGGTTGCTTTCAATCTGTTAGCAACATAACTTGGATCTCTTCGGCTGAAGATAGTTGTGGACGACTGGTCCATTCAAAAAAGGGAAGTTTACACAATACTCAGTAGGTCTCGGGCCTTCTGGAACCTGATCTTCTTCATTAAATGTTTGTTTTTTACATCTTATGGGGGCCCACGCTGAGGATCGACACAGAAAAATCAAAACTGTACATTCCATCGTTCTCGACCATTCACGAGAAATCTTCAAGACAAAGAGTCAAGTCCCTCGCAATGCAGCTCTTGACGTTGACAGGAGGCCTTTTTTCGGGGAGTAGTCCATCGCACCGAGGACCGGTTTTTTCGCAGTCAAAGTGTTAGTTACCAGAACTTTGTTGAGTTGAGCTAGACAACGCTCCCATTTACTCAGAAGTTAATAATCAACCGACTTCTCGCGAAATGCGGTTAGGCAACCCTACTAAATTCTTGAACACGAAAAATACAACAAAATGCGAAGGGCGTCTTAAGTGAGGCCAAATAACGAAAATGACTTTCGTCACTTAGTAAATGAACTGAAGATGAAAGCTACTGGGGAAATATTAGAAATATTTGGAGTTCGATCGATTCATTACTGCGTAAAACCGACGGAATATTGTACCAGACGGACAGACATATAAGATAGATAGATAGATAGATAGATAGATAGATAGATAGATAGATAGATAGATAGATAGATAGATAGATAGATAGATAGATAGATAGATAGATAGATAGATAGATAGATAGATAGATAGATAGATAGATAGATAGATAGATAGATAGATAGATAGATAGATAGATAGATAGATAGATAGATAGATAGATAGATAGATAGATAGATAGATAGATAGATAGATAGATAGATAGATAGATAGATAGATAGATAGATAGATAGATAGATAGATAGATAGATAGATAGATAGATAGATAGATAGATAGATAGATAGATAGATAGATAGATAGATAGATAGATAGATAGATAGATAGATAGATAGATAGATAGATAGATAGATAGATAGATAGATAGATAGATAGATAGATAGATAGATAGATAGATAGATAGATAGATAGATAGATAGATAGATAGATAGATAGATAGATAGATAGATAGATAGATAGATAGATAGATAGATAGATAGATAGATAGATAGATAGATAGATAGATAGATAGATAGATAGATAGATAGATAGATAGATAGATAGATAGATAGATAGATAGATAGATAGATAGATAGATAGATAGATAGATAGATAGATAGATAGATAGATAGATAGATAGATAGATAGATAGATAGATAGATAGATAGATAGATAGATAGATAGATAGATAGATAGATAGATAGATAGATAGATAGATAGATAGATAGATAGATAGATAGATAGATAGATAGATAGATAGATAGATAGATAGATAGATAGATAGATAGATAGATAGATAGATAGATAGATAGATAGATAGATAGATAGATAGATAGATAGATAGATAGATAGATAGATAGATAGATAGATAGATAGATAGACGGATAAATTGGTAGGTAGGTAGGTAGTTAGTTAGATAGGTAGGTAGATAAACGGCAGATAGATTAGATCCGACAGCGAGTCTTCGATGCTAGCATAATTGGAGTTGATCCAGAGAGTACCGCCAAACCAAGCGTAAGCAACTGTAGAACCGCAGCTTCGCAAACACCAATATTACTGAGAAATGGAGAATTTCTTTTCCTTCCAACCTCTGTGTGCTGATAAGTTGAGAAAAACAGTTTTTTGTTTTACGTTATCGCTGACAAAATTACAGATGTGTGTTAACAGATTTGTAAAACATAAACTATTACGAATATGTGTTAAGTTTGCTGACACTTGTGACTGGGACGCATGTCCATGGATGAGTAGCCTGTTCAAGCCTGTTTAACACCTCCTAATGTTTGCATCCAAAAGACAAGAATCAAGTCTCGAATCGGATCAAAACCCGTTCTATGGAGTTTTGTAGGCAGGTCTTTTGATCACCTAACACGGTAGGGCTATGAAGAACCAACTGGGAGATTTGTTTCCCAGTGCACTGTGTATGCTATGGAAAGAAGCATTCGGAATCGCGTACAAACGAATCGTTCGTTGTCAATTGGCGAGTGTCAGCTGGAGATCCCGACGCGTTTGAAGGTGGACCAACCAAAAACACGATTTTCTCAGTCTTGATGTTCAACGAAACACCGGTAAACATTTCTGCTGTGAGCTATTTACAATAATATTGATGAATTTCGCTTATGTTCCAAACCGATTCAACCAAAGATCTATGTTGGTTGGTAACCGCGCCTATCGATCGCTTCCAAGGTAGGTTGCACAAACACGTTCGTCCGTGTTACAATCATTCAGCTTACTGCCGCTATTGATGCTGAATTTGGCGATTTCATTGTGCACATTTTTTTCAAAGAACCTGAAGCACCGTAACAATAACAGCTCAATTAACTTACATTTGTAACCATTCAAAATCAAAATAATTTTGATAGTTGATTGCGGCTACCAAAACGATTGAGTTCCAATTGCGAAGTGTAAATTGTGCATATGCCTATCTAGTGAGGCGGCAGAACAGTAAGATACTTATTCATGTTTGAAAAAAAAGAAGTTTAAAATACTTGCTTTATATGGTGTATCGTAAGTCACGTGCAGCTCCCGGAAAGTCGCTACTAGCGCATGTATCCATCGAGGTGGTCCGGCCTGCCGAACATGTGGGAAGATGGATGACGTGGTATTGTTGTGTCTGACAAGTCACTTGAAGCGATAGAAGAGTATTGGTCAGAAGTAGAAGGTCATGCTTAGTTCAGGACTTAATCACAAGTACAGTTAGGAGTGAAAACTGTTAAGTTCAGATAATCACTTGCAACGTCTTTTGAGCGAACTAAATCTGTTGAAGCATACTATCGATGGCATTTGATTATCCAGATCAATGCAGTATCGACCAGACAGTGTTGGTACTTTATTTGATCAAGCTGAATGCCACTTAACTGCTTATCCTCAATTGGTCGAAGGACTGAACTGGTTTTGTTTGTTCTTCGGGTTTGGGACGAGATAAAACATCAAGTGGAGCGAACGTCTTTTGAACTAAAACTAAATGCTATCTATTCAACTCGTCCTTGGCGAAGAACTTCAAGACATGAAGGTTTTCTATCAAACTCCGCAGGCTATCTTCGTCAAAATTCTTTTGGAAATCTGGAATATTGCGTATGGCATTCAGCGGCTTGTTTGAAACCCAAGATCAAGACCGATGGCCGATATAGGGTCGGTCAATGGTAAACTAAATGCTATCTATTCAACTCGTCCTTGGCGAAGAACTTCAAGACATGAAGGTTTTCTATCAAACTCCGCAGGCTATCTTCGTCAAAATTCTTTTGGAAATCTGGAATATTGCGTATGGCATTCAGCGGCTTGTTTGAAACCCAAGATCAAGACCGATGGCCGATATAGGGTCAGGTCAATGGGAAACAGCTCCTTGTCTGCCTTGTCACCTGTTGCATCAGACCCAGCAGCCAGGCCTTCTTCTACCCATAACCTTTCAGGATTCTTCTAGACTCCAAAAGTAAGTGGGGTTAATAAGGTGAGATAGGCAGAATTTTGACGGTTTCTAGGATGAGATACCAAGTGAGAGCTCGGCTGATAACTTCGTGCGGATCCAGTTAAAGTTAACCCATAAAAAAGGTCCCCAATAATCCTGATCTCAGGGACTATTTAGCTTGCATAGAAACAAACATGAAGATATGGTTTCTTCACGACTGGGATGGTGTTGGTCTAAGTTATGACCTTTTGGAATCTCTGTTCACAACACATTTCCAATCTGTCGCGCCCGATGTCCTAAATCCGTTGGTCGGTCACCTCAACCATGGCAGCTTCATTATTGTGGAGGACGGAGTCAAAGGTCTTGCTGACATGCAGGCTGCACGCACCGAATGGCCTTTCAAGGTAGCCACTCACTCCATTCAGAAGGCGCAATAAGTTTGTGGGACACAACCAGCTTCCGTCAATTCCAGTTAAACGACTTGGCAGTAGGTTGTTCCCCACCAGAGAGCCATTCTTCCCTAAAGAATGTTTTTAGTGATTCTCGTGTGTATCATTCTTAGCAGTTTATACAATAAATCATCGCTAGAGGAGACTGTGACTACTGAATCACATGATACAGCATACATTAATGAAGGGTGCTAAGTTTCTAGACACTTGGGATCGGCCATCATTGACCGATCAGTTAGAAGACCATGGCTTCAGATTTCTCAAGAGATCCATGATACTAACACCGCTGATGAGTGCTGACCTGGATGAAACGTCTTTACAATGTTATCTGGCTTCTTGACATGCTTCAAAGCTAACTGCAGGATGATTGATTGATTACGATGTCACGTTGAAGTCTAAGCTAAGGTTGATGGGAGTCAGCTGAGCATTTACCAAAATTTAGAAATAAGGACGGCATTATTCCTTCTACATCGGTTCAGTCACTCTGGGATTTGTATGGAATAACTCATTTTTTCTCTAACGTGGTTTATGGTCCGAACCAAGCTTACCGAAAAACATTTGCTTCCAGATGGGAACTGCTTGAATGAAACGAGCTGTTAGTCTTTTGCTGGTAACGGAGTCGGCCCAGTAGGTCATCCTAGCTTTCAAAACTGTCATGCAGTTTGTATCCACTTCGTTATGCAGGTGAAGAAATACGCCGGAATATACATGACGCATCATATAAGACTTTACTTTCTTGTACTGACGTCAAATTTGCCAAAGTAGATCATTGTTTCAGAAGAGAAAAACTGTTTCACACTCCCCGATCCCTCAACGTAGATTGGTGTTAGTGGGAGGATGAAAACCAGACTTTAAATTCTAAAGCCACCTTACTACTTACAAAGCAAGATTGGTTTCTTCACAAAGAAAATATTCTATACATAACATGAGACCCCACTTGAGCAACTAACGCGCGGGGAGTCATTTCAACCCACAATGTAGTCGTGTTCCGGAACGGTAATCACCAGAATGCTATGTGAGGAACCACAACAGTGCGAATTGGGTTTTTATGTGACACCCTTTTCACCGCCTTTGATTTGAGTCCACACGTTCGGAAGCCTCGCACATTCACTTTTGGTCAGATTTGTTTAGGATTTATGACAATCTCTTGTGGCAGGATGAATCTGTTTCACGGATGTTCCGTAACGTTGCTGCCACACGTGACGACCACAAGCTAAATATGCATAGATTTATATTGAATTTCGCTCCTAGGGACGGACATCACATGCGAGGTTAAGGCCGAAACGCTGAAGTTCGATTTTACGACAGGATCCAGATTCTCAAATGCTTTCCGAATCGTCAGTGCTACCACGGGAGTGACGAAGGAGCTGGCACAAGTTTGCAAAGCTTGCTTTCGGGGTTTGGGCAGTGAGGCCAAAACTGAAATCATCGCTGCTGTAGAACTTGCCTGAGACTTGGAATGCTGATACGGCGTCCTCCAACCTCCTACTCATTTTTTTCCAGCCGCCGATGCCTAGACACCAGTGATAAAAATCCTTGAGCTTACAGATGTCTTGTATGTGGAACGGTCAAGTTTCACGACCGAGTAGGAGGATGTTCTTAGTCAATCTGGTTTCGAAAGCTGCACAGATATGTACCTTGCTGTGTTGAGAAGAAGACCAATTCCCTCTTTGGCTTACACGTCAGGCAGGTTGGTAGAAGCCGCGTATCAGAATGCGTCCCATTGCATCACCTTTTAGCAAAGTGTTACCAGTTGAACACTTGATCATGTGGAGAAGCTTGACTTGCTGGTGTGGTAGCTGACCCGATCGAGAACGGCATCTTTCACTTCACCGACATGCCATCGATATGTTCGAGGTCCACAATCCCAACGCCTAGGCTCAGCTGGGTGCCAGTGCCTCCTGCACCACTCAGTCAATTGTGAAGCTCAAAAACACTGGTGATGAACGACATCCTTGTCTAACACCGGAGATAATTGACGCGACAATTTATCCTCACTGATACATTTGAGCACTAGAAGGACGAGACCTGACGAAGATAGCGGCTCCTAATCTCCTGGTTGGTGTGAAATACAGCCAGGAAAGGCAGAGCGGTTTATTGCCTGGAATCAAGATCACTCATCTGAGTGAGATTGTGCAGAAGAGACGGGGAGAATGTCCCACAAAAGCTAACGCCTTTAAGATTCAGCGTGACTAGCTCCATACTTACAGAAACAGTGGCGTTGCCCTATGGTGAGTAGACTGGTAAAACAGGGATCAGTATACTAGTTGAATGACCAACAAATCGCTTGACGCAGAAACGTCATGAGGTTGGTATCTCTAGGATCCACAAGCTCGACAAAAGCGTCACTGCAAAGTCTCTACAACGCCCCTCACTTCCTACAGAATACAATCAATCTGCTCAGGATTTTCGTCTGAATGATCTTCGTTGAAGAAGCTAGTCAGGGGATGTGTAGTTGACGGATGGTGGCGCCACATCGTGGTTGAGTACGAGGTGATCAACCTGAAAAGTAGTCACACATGGCCGAATGCTATAGCGTTCAACCATAAGCGAGAAGACCGCGGATCTGATTCACCCTAATGATCCTCAACAAGGATGGAACAGTCGTACAGTGCTTCTCCGCCGTTCAGCGTAGCGTTCATCTACATAAAATGTCTACTGGAACGTCTAAATCGTCACACTAACTGCAAACTCTTTCTCGTGGCTATCAGCTATCACATTCCACGCCTTTTCTCATTTCCAACACTCTTATTCAATACCCATCTGAACAGAATGTCGCAAGCACTCCAATTTTTCGATGTGCATTTCTCACCTTTCTCTCGCCCCTTTGACGTCTCATGATGAGTGTGCATCTTAACGGTTGTATAAGTCGCGATGGTACTCTACAAAGGGAAACGGATGCACACATTGTCAAAGCGCCAGGACAGCGGTTCAAGTGTGTCCCCCGGGGAAGTTGCATACAAAGCGAATGCATAAGCAACCTTACTGTAATACCTCTATCATCTGAAGACATCACAACCCTTCAGGTATTTGCTCACCATTACTTTCGCAACGTAGCGCTATTGAGCTGGCATCGGCTCCTCTTCAAAGGGCTGGTACAGAAGTGAATACTTGGTGCCGAATATCGATCGTCATGGTGGCAAACAAACCCGGCTTGTTTAAGGTGGTTGAGACATGCACTACACAGACCCAACCACCGTTTTTGAAAGCAGTTTCTCATTCTCAGCTGTGGCTAGCGCCGTTTTCAGGGACCAGGCCATAATACTGAAGCAACTGCAGTCAGACTGAGCGTTGTGAATTATTCGAATCGATTTGACTGACCTCAGCGGTTGAGACCTCTAGGAGATATTGAACATAGCTCATGTCACTTGCGAGACTGCTGTCATTTCCTAACCGGAATGTTTATCTCCCAGTGGTCTTGGAGACGTAAAACGGACCACAGTCAAACAGCGAAAAGTTCGGATTCTATTCGCTTGAATACCAACAGTGAACGGGTCATCTGTGTTTCAGACCCCATGTGAATTTGTTCGAATTTCACTTTGCCTCAAGTAAATTTGAAGTGAGAGAAGCTGCATCGTAAAAATTAAGTCCGGCGTGTATCAAGTGGTGCTACGCAGAGCAGGACGGTCCCTCGCGATCGCACCAAAAAACCTGTGGAAGAGTTACTGCCAGAAAAGTGTTGGACGGGCGGACTGGCAAAGCCGGATTTCCTAGCGTTCCATCTCGCCATCGTTGTCAAACTACGGGCGCACGAATTAGCAATAGACTGGACTACCACATTTTGACCAATGAATGCCAGACGACATAAGATAAAGATAACCAGTCAGCTGTAACACCCTTTCGGTGCCTAGCTGCCATGCCACGTGAAGGAAGCACGAGGGTTGGGATACTGTCAGGTTGCCCAAGCCTAGACAGGGGATTCAAGAGACAAAGGTCGGGTTCGAACCACGGACCCTCCGGTCAGTAAATTCGCGCTCTAACCACTTGAACCATCTCGTCCCCTGCCAGACGATATGCGAGTGTTCTTGGTTGAACGCAAAAATAGGGCACACGTGTTAGTAGAAAAAATTAATCAAAGCTACAATTCAGAGTTGATGGCATTCAGCAGCACCAGCCGTAGAATTTTTATTCCACTATCAAGCGTACTCCACAGGTCCTACTACTCACAACTTGAGAATGCGTCTACCTCGACATCAAACCAGAACGACCTAAAATTTGAACAACAGTGAAGCTGAACTAATTACGAGAAACCTTTCACACGCTACACGGATGTGGTGGGCCACCACATTGTTCTCATACTGGAGTGCTCCAGAGGTAGACAACATTCAGCTCTATCCAATTACCAAGGCCCGTGGCCGAAACCCTTGGAGGCTCACATTGTCGGTGACAGCTGGTTACGCATTCCTGATTGTTTTATATTAGTCACCTCTGTTATTGGGTTCCGAAAACTCTCAAGGCCGACAGACTGGCCGTTGAAATGAAGTTGCAAGTATGTTGTGCGGTCACAGCGCGGAAGTTTCTACGAAGCAGGTTCCAGAGACATGGGAAAACATTCTCCACTGCCCTTGATAAGTTAGTCTACAGACAAAGAGAATCTCTACTATTAGCGTGGTAAACAGTGACCCAAATGAGTCTCTCGTTCATGATATTCTCCATGCTTAGCATGAAGTCACAATCATTGTTGTTTTGGGGTTTCATTAGGTGGGCGTAGACCCTCATTCCGTACAACTGTGTTTAAGTGAGGAATACGCTTTCAGGAACTACGCCTGCTTGAAGAGAAGGGAAATCCGTGGTGAGCGGTCGAAGTGCTCAGCAACCTCATTAGTAGCGTTTTATGTTGGGGAATTTTTACTACCTCCTGAAACATGTGTCGACTGGGTCCCAAAAAGAGATCACATCGAATCGTACCGAGCAGTGGTCTCTTCTTGAGCATCGGAGAAAGCAAGCCAGCGCCGAAGGTATGGAAATGCGAGACGGCCGAGCAAGAGGCCTGTGGTCATGGTTGGATAGTAATCAACTGAAAAGAGTTTGGGATCGATTGAGTGGTCGTCGGTTCAGAGAGGTCTCCCTCCCCCAATTAATCTATCGATTGTTTACCAAACTTCTCCGAAAGACTGGATAGTGGGTTTAAGACAATGGGCGCCTTTTACCAATGCAGTTGTATTGTCATGCTACTTTGCAAGTATTTGAGTAGTACGGAAACAACGATCAAAACTACCGGTTCCATTTGTATTGAGGAAACTGGAAACTGACCAAGCCAAGGCAGGGTTCACCCACTTCATCAAAATGAAAAATAGGTTGCGATTCGCGAATTGATGCACAATTCTTATAAAATCTGTACAGGCGAGTTGGGGGGTTGGTTATTTCAAAATCTGTGCAAGTTTACAACATTCCGACTGAGGAATGTGGTCAGCCATCGCAATCGCGTTTGCCAGTAGAGTTGTTTCCCTTGGAGAACGCGCGGTCAGCCAAATGCGTCCATTCGCCCCCAAACATACCTCAAAGGGGAAAACCTGTGGATTAGGAAAACACAAAGTCCCGATTGTGGTAAGAAGGGAGTAGAAAGTAGTGGTAGAGACAGACGTCAGGATGACAAGAATCACCTTTGTGCAAAACGAAAATGGCGAAGAGTGAAAAACCAACATTTACTGGAGGACAAGAGTTCTAGACAGATAGTATCCCTAACAACCTTCACATAGTTATTCAACTATCACAAAATGTTGTCAGTGACCTGTGAGACGGTGGAATAGCTGGACTAGCCGTCCTATAGCGTGGTCTCTGGTTGGTCGCAATCTAACAAAACACAAAGCACTTGAAATGCACTAACCAATTATTTATGGGACCAAGTACAAGACGGAAAAATCCTTTTCCGTCCATTCAGTTTCAAACAAAATGATTGTTCTTGATTGTCTCTGGATGACTCAGTGATAAAGGTGCCAAATTACTGACCAGAAGGTCCGTGGTTCGAACCCAACCTCTGCATCTCGACTGCTCCTGTATAGGGTTGGCAACCTGGTAGTATCTCGGCCCTCATGCTTCCTTCGGTTGGCATGACAGCTACGCACCAAAAAGATACTAAGGATGGACAGTGCAATTTAATTTCTTGATTATCTCATGCTTGCATTCAGCTTGAAAATTAACGGCCGTAGCCCAGCCACATAATGTCTGAACCGAAACACCTCTATTAATCCGCCGAGTGACTTCTGCCTACATGGTCAGTAGGTCTCCGCGAAGGAAACAGGTTGCATTACAACTTTTCAATAAGAGACACGCCTGACAACCAGGAACGCTTCACTATCTCCCATCGGGTCAACTTTGAATCTCCAGGAAGTTGATGTAACCGTAACCAGCGACATTTTGGCCACCTACCCCAATGAGCTCAAGAAAGTTCAGTGCTCAAGTCATAGACTAGCGACCATGAGCACCGGGGTTCCAACCTCATTCTGGCTTTCCAGGGTTTCACCGCTCATTTCCTCTTTGATGTGACTACAACATACACAGGTTATGTTAGAAGCTCCCGCATACCAATCGATCACTAGTTGAAATGGGAAGTTGATTGTCCTAACAACACAAGCAATTGTAGTAACTCGAGAAGCTACGTGAGGCTTCCTAACAGACATTGATACCGTGTCCAGGATGCTGTCTTCCTCTTAGGAAAAGTAACGTATTGGACGCTACTAGGGAGTACTTACACTACACTTCTTGAAGTCGACTCCGTTTCAAACAAGAAGACAACTGACCGAGAACCACATTAGAAACCCTAACAGGGGGTTCAGGTTGAAATGGGAAGTTGATTGTCCTAACAACACAAGCAATTGTAGTAACTCGAGAAGCTACGTGAGGCTTCCTAATAGACATTGATACCGTGTCCAGGATGCTGTCTTCCTCTTAGGAAAAGCAACGTATTGAACGCTACTAGGGAGTACTTACACTAGACTTCTTGAAGTCGACTTAGATTCAAACAAGAACCGCATTGGAAAACATAACAGGTAATATATCTCACTTTGGAAAGTAGTGTCAGGAATGGGAAGTTATCCTGGCGGCCACTTGGGCGAACGAGACCTGGAGAGCAATGTAGCATTACACCACCCTTCATGCCTCCTGCGTTCCCCACTGTGCCCGGTTCCTGTCGGCCAAGAATCCCCATTCCAGAAGCCCGACCGGTCTCATCTACGCATGACAGTTCAATGTCCAAATCTGCGGAAGAATAGAGCACTTTGAAAAATTACCCGGTAGTCACCAGTAGAAAATTAGTAACTGTTCTAAGAAAACTGCAGGCGAGCGTTGGTTTAATATTCTAGACAGTGACAACAGGTCTCAGACAGGACGAAGATGAAGTGACCCCGACCACGTGCAACAGTCACATTCAGTGAATCGGGATGACTCGATCGTTTTGCAGTACACTATCCTCTTACACTTTGTGCTGCCAGATCACCGTCTGCTCATGAGGTAAGTGACAAGACTATTTCACATTTCAGTCTCCCTCAAGTGAACCTATTCACTGCCGAGTACTCAATCAGTTCAGCTCTCAAGTATTTGAAAATCACGTAGGTCTCCGGATCCGAACTTCCGGGTGTTGAAGCGACAAAGTGACCCAACTCTTACGGTTGTCTTGAATGTTTGCTGCTTACGCTTAGGCGAAAATGGCCGTTGGTTACATAAATTGGCAGGTGTTGCTCTAGCACACACAGTTAATGGAATGCCTATACCCGAAAATCCTTTAAATTTAAAAAGTCATCTGTACATAGAGTCAAGTTCTTTCGAGGTCGAAAACACTGCGATTTCGGACTACCGGCGCATGCGGCTCTGCAACATCAACTTACGCAAGACAAAACTGATCGAGGCCTTAAGTACGAAGAACATCGCTAGCTGCGTTTCTACACAACCTAGTATACTGAAGAAACGAGAACTGAAGATTAAAAAACAGTTCCACTGTCTGTATTATCGTAGAAAGTGCTTCAAAACGATGAACTGGATTGTATCTATTGGAAAACGTGAAATTCAATCCTCGGGGAGGCTCATGGAGAAAAGGAACGACAGCTATTGATGCCCGCGGACAAAAACCTGTTGTGTCGGGCCCTATATCTTTTGGTACAAGAATACGGCCAATAAATTCGATAGCGTGTAGCGTGACAACGTCGCACCAATGGCAGAAGCAATAAATACTAACCCCTGTCCGCCTGTGTTACCATGGCATACAGGACATCACCCGGGCCCAAATCAGGTCGGTTTTTCTTCGAAGCTCCTTCGAAAGCAAGATAATTCAATGTGGCGGGCGATCCGCAACCTATGTCAACCATGTAATTGTCACCAACTCGTCGGGTCACCAAGCCAACAACGCGATCTCCAATGTGAAATTGACTGTTTGTACACCGGAAGGTAGTTCGAGTCAAGGGTGCAAGTGATCGTGAAACTCCGGATAGGCGTGGTCGTTCCAACCACAAACAAAAGTGATGAGTCTCAGGTTTGGCACCACCGGGGAACCTCGAAGCTGTTGTTTTCTCTTCAGCTGGATCAAAGTCTGTAGAGGATTGCCTCAACACACCAAACTGCGAGAGCGAAATAAAGAGAACAGAATGATCAGCTGAATCGCGGCAACCGGTTTCGATGGGCAATGGAGTGAACGTGACGGAACATGTCTTAAGTTTTCGACAGCAGGCGGAACGTTCTAATCTACCCAATGAGGCTTTTGAGGTTTTTTATTCGTTTAGTTGCCGTCTTGTCACCTGGACGTTTCGAAAACATCCAATCGAAATAACTGTGTGGTCCCAGGGCCATCCAACCGAAATTTAGATAATCAGTGGTGGTTGCGTTGAGGCTCGATGGTTTATAGTTCGAGTGTCATAAGGCACTTGGGAAAAAACGAAAATGTATCGATGCTATTGGGTAGAATTTCATCCACAATCGATCATCTATACGCTGCTTTTACCACACTCGTTTCGCAGCAGCCTCGATTTGTCGAAGAATAAGGCTACTAATGGAATATTATGCACTTTATCGACTGCCGTGAATAAATTCCACGTCACGACACGCCGGTCACCCGATATCGAGTTAATAGCAGTGATAAAGCACCTGAGGAAGTGAATACCTGATGGGATAAAAAACAATGTCAAAGCTTTTCGGAACTTCTAATACCATAAGGAAGAGATAATACTAAGATGATAGACATAGCGAGGCTACCGGATGGAAGGACGGCTAGAAAAACTGGGTACATATGACAAAACCGTTGGTGATCTCCTGGGATTACAATTCATCTCCGGGCTCAGTCAATTGGCTAGTCTAACTGAAATTATGCATACACGTATTGCTATGGATCGTCGATCATTTGGATAGCAAGCCGGGACACAAACAGAAATGACTCGCGTCCACAAAACAGATAGCCGTTGCATAGTACAATAGTATCTAAATGAAGAGACAAAGTTTTTTCATGCGAATGACCAACGTAAAGATTTGGTACAAGGAGAAAAGTAACCGTCATGCCAGACAAGGAACGGTGTGCAGTAGCGCGACAACAAATCCTTTTGAAGCTAGCCAATAAATGACGTTGTAACCCTCTGTTAGTTCGTCCTTAGTATCTGGCTGAAAATAGAAGACATACCAATTAGGAATCAACGGTTTTATAAGCAAAAAAGCGATTCAAGCCTAGGGTTTTTAAAGTTCGGTTGAATATGAAGTTCGCGAATATGTTGAAAATGCGGGACCAGCCGACTACCTCCGGTTGTCCGCTCGAACATTCAGGAGGAAGCTCCTGGAACGGAGATTCACTTCCATCCAGAGGACTTCGAATCATCTCTTCGTTTCCTTGGTCTTCACCACTTGGTTTCAGAAATATGACAGGTGAGGCGCTTCGATCATATTCAGGATACGCATAAGCCTAGTTGGGACCATCAGAAAGATCAGCGACTTGAGGTCCCACACGATTATTCAGCTCCAGAAAAACAATTAGACGTAACAAATGCTGGCTACTGCGAGAACGATCAAGCTGTTGCCGCTCGAGCAACCCTCAAATATCTCCACCCGGCTGGGAAAAAGCCATATTACCATACGAAAATTGGTGAATAGAATGCACTTTCTATCAGTTACTGTTACAAAGTTAGGTGGCACCTTCTTGCAGAGTACAGGTGAACATGGATTTGAAAGCATGCGTGGTTAATTTTTTTCAATTAGAGTGGCATTTTTGTGCTGCCTTCTGTTTCACTGGGAACCGAACTATGCTGGCGTGACAGTTCTATTGTATTGTCTAGTGTAGATATATTTGCCATCTCTCCTGCTACACTAGTTTTCCCGTGCACTCTAACCGAGATTTGAACCACACACTTCTGTGGCACGCTATCTGCTTGCAGTTTGTTCCATGACCCGTGCACCCATTTCCCCATAGTTTGCGGCTTGGACCATGGTCTTGATTGGCGTTCTTTCCAATCAGTTGGTATACGCCACAGCCTTCCAATAACCGCCATATATTCAATTGTTGTGCTGAGTAACGGCTGGCGTATTGTACCCAGTGAGTCACAAACCTTGTAGCTGTCTGTGCCAGTTACAGAGCTAAAACCTCTCCAACATGCATTGTAACCGCAACTCAAAATCGAAGACAATAGACGCACCTGGAGGATTAAGATTGAATCCCAAGACTTTGGTTGTTTAGGCCGGGTGGTTTTCGGTAAAAGGCGTAAACCAGGACCCAAAGCCCATGAATGATGAACATCTGGTCTATCAGGATCTAGGTGTAGTACCATTCCCGGGAGGACAAGACGATCCAGGAAAGTCTTGAAACTCGCATGGTCATGAATTTCACTCTGATATCGTGCTCCACGAAGGATATCGTCAATCACAGAGGTATCCACTTCCATTATTTACGTGGGTTCTGAAATACGAGTGAATGTGACGAATCATAGATTAAACTAGTAGAATTAGTAAAAGTACCAGTTCCACTAGTCAGTGGAGAACATCATGAGCTTATAATTTAAGCTGGCAGTTTCATACAGTCATTTAAACGAAGGCACCATGAGGAACACTCAAGAACCCGGGCGGATGATGCCCGAAGAGGATTCCGTTATAACCAAAAAATCGTTCAGCTGTAGTACCTTTCCGGCGCCTAACTGCAATGCCACTCGAAGGTTGCCCGAGGGCTGGGATACTGTCAGGTTGCCCAAGCCCAGACAGGGGAAGTCGAGAGGCAGAGGTCGGGTTCGAACCACGGACCTCCCGGTCAGTAAATTCGCGCTCTAACCACTTGGGCCGTCTCGTCTGTCATCTACACAAAAACAACTTTTTGGTGTCGTACACTGAGGCTGCTGTATAAAGTTGCAGAATGTATGCACAAGTCACAGTCTGAAAGTAAGAGCACGCCTGAGTAGCCTAGCACAGGATTTGCAGATATGAGATAGAAGACTCACTTCTAATTCTCAGTTGTTGTAGTGTACTCTTCGGGGACTGATGAGCGAATGCTCATGTCTACGTTAAAGAATTTGATCACTCCTCGACTAGAATGAGCTGAGTCCCCACTACAACACTGCATTGCGAGATCTCTGGCTGGGTGCCGAGAATGTTCGGCTTGGGAGGCAAGTTGAGGTCATCTGTGGCTGATTAGCGCTCTGGAAACTCTTATAATGGTTTCCCAGGCGGTGATTGATCCTCCTGAATTTCGGAAGGCCTTGGGTGAGTTATTGCCTTCAATCCATAGCTCCCTACCAAATCCCCTGTGTTTACGTACCAACTTATCACTTCCCGTCTCCAATGCACAACTACCTACCCCACCTCCCAAAATCAATGGTGGACGAAAATGTGGCAGCTACAACCACTGTACGACAAGTACGCGGTTCTCACAGCTGATAATGATCAGGATGTGGTTGAGTTGCATTGAACAACAGTTTCTGTATTTGTGTGATCCGCCCATCTTACGGTGAGTTGCCAATTAGTTTAAGAACATCGGCCTCCGACAAGTGATTTGGAGTGCCGGAAGTGACCCGAGGTTCATTAGCAAAGTGTTCTCTAACACCTGTGTGGTGTTGTCTGCACCCGCTGCGAATCATGTGAGTAAGTGTGGCCTGAGTCCTGGTCACATGCTAAGGAATAAAAGGCCTGAGTGTTGCTTGCACGTGGGTCATCATTAGGTCCCGAGTGTCCATTAATACACTTGCTATGGTTATGCACGGAATAAGTTGCACAGGCGCACTCCCTTGTGGATTGTGTTGTTATTATTCTTGTAAGTACTGCATGGGACGTGTTTGCCACCTTGCTCATATGTCTGTCCAGTAAACCACTGCAGAAGGACCGCAAGCAGCTTCTGCATACACATGGCCATCAGTATTAGATACAGTGACATCAGTGTTGAAACTAAGACCTAACTGCGAAAAACCACAAGATTTATCTGATCATAGTTAAAGCTTTCATTATCATCATCTACCGGTGTCAAATCTGAGTGATTCCTCTTTTCTTCTTGTGCACGTCTCTTGACAATAGTTAATGGCTGTCCACTCAGCCTATATACATCCAGGAGGTTGATGCCCCAGAATTCCTGAAGGGCCTTGAAAGTTTCAATCAAATCGTCTCTAAACATTCTCCTTTCTGGAGTCATCACCATCACTGTCAGCTGTATTAACCGCGTACTTGTGGCACAGCTGTTGTAGCTGCCACAGTTCCGTTCACCGATGATTTAGGAAGATGGCCAAAGTGGTTAGAGCGCGAATTTACCGACCGGAAGGTCCGTGGTTAGAACCCGACCTCTGCTTCTCGGCTTCCCCAGTCTAGGCTTGGGTAACCTGGCAGTATCCCAGCCCTCGTGCAACCTTCGGGTGGCATGGCCGTTAGGCACCGGAAGGGTGCTACAGCTGAGCAATTTTGGGGAGGTGGGGTAGGTAGCTGCGCATTGCAGCTGATAAATTGGCGCACTGTCAGTGGGCTGTCAAGCGGGGGGGGGGTTGGAAAAAGAGCCATGCATTGAAGACAATAGCTTTGATGCACGAGCGCCATTGAGAGCGCGACTCGGCCATGTCTGACAATGTCTCTAGCCATTGATGTGGCCCGTCTCGGGGTCCCCATCCAGGAAGACGGAAGTGACCAGCGCAGATGAATTTGCTGGTAATGGCTTTCAGACTTCGCTGCCAAAAGTCGGCTGGCTGGCATACACAGCACGTGGCCAAGCCAGTTTAGAGGCGTATTTCGACCTCCTCCCTCCTGCACGGCAACCTAATTTACTATTACCCATTACACACCCACCCTTCCCCTGGAAGGTGGCCATCTGATCAGGACAATGAGTAGGGAAGCGATGATGTGCGTCATCAAATCGAAGAAAAACGCATTCAGACCATCACATCCTGGAGACTTGTTGGGGTCAGGTAGTATGCTGATCATGCCTGGCATACCACTGTTTAGCGTCGATGCAGAGTCCGGAGAAAGAGGACAATTCTGAACAGTACACTGGACCATGACAAAGATGGAAGCTAGCACTACTGTCCTCGAACATCCCAACATGGCCAATGACCTTTTTACTAAGTTCCCCAACGTACCTTCTGAGCCTCACTTCGGAGTATATATATCGATAGTACCTTTTAGGGTTGTTCTTCCAGTTTCCTGTACTCCTCGGTTCGAGTGTTTCCTCTGCATTTTTCCGTTTGTTGTTGACCATCCCCTGGGCGTAACGAACGAACTTACGATGACCACAGGTCACAGTTCAATCGGGCACGTAACGAACTTTAGGTAATATGCTTTGCGAACCTTAGTGGCCCACTAGCAGGTGCAGGCCTTAAACACAACCCTATTAACATGGCTTCGTGGTCAGAGGGCGAATTTACTGACCAGAAGGTCCCTGGTTCGGGCTCGACTTCTGCCACTCGTCTCCCCCTGTCTAGGCTTAGGCAACCTGGCATTATCCCAGTCCTCGTGCTTTCTATGGATGGCATGACGGCAAGGGTTACAGCTGAACGATTATCTTTCTTAGTTTCATTTGACATGGCTTCGTAGGATGTTTTGGATATTGTTAAAGACCAGATGCTATCAAGATTACTGCACATACCCCAACCGATTTGCTTGGTCTACGTGCAAAGTTTCCATATCTAGTCTACCGTATGAGGACCAATTTTGGCTGGAAAGCTTGAATCCCACAGGACAGTCGAAATATGAGGAACAATGGCCACTTCTATCGTGAGTCCTCGAGCTCGCTTGAAAACCTCATTAATAAAATAGTCCTTCAGCTGTAGCATTCTCGGTGTCTAGCTGTCATGCCACCCAAAGGAAGCACGAGGGATGGGATACTGTCAAATCGCCCAAGCCTGGACAGGGGAAATCTAGAGACAGAGGTCGAGTTCGAACCACATCTTCCTGTCGGTAAATTCGTCATCTAAGCACCGAGCCATCCCGCCATCTCATTAACAAGTCCAGAATGGACGGAGTGTCAAAAACTGCAATCCGTTTAGCACCAATCTGTGTGAATACACATGTCAAAGATTACAGCCAAAAGCGCTTAAGATTTTTACTATCGCCCCGAGGACTGTTCGGTTAATCCAAACTCTTCTCCCCACAGTTAGCATTCTATCACAGTGGCTACATGTTCACTTGACCTCTGTTCATCAGCTATAAACCATGTGAAAGGAGTACGTTGGTTCCGGCTGCTAGAGTTTAGGAAAATTCAAAATGGGAGAACCTGAAACATACACGCGAGCATTAAAAGCGATGCAACAATCGGTTTTTCTGGGACCTGGGAAGCTGCTCATTAGAGGCGATAGCTTTTACGCAAGAGCGTCACTGACTACGTGATCGAGCCATATCTGCGAGTGTCAATAACAATTGGTGAGTTTGGTCCCGGGGTCTTCATCAAGAGGAGAGGCAAATGTGGACTCGATTAATTTAAACGGTTAGTTTTTGCGATGTTGTGGCGCTGTTTTCGCCATGTTATACACTGCCCACATTTCGGTTGTTTCCACTCAGCACATGGCTGGGAGAAAATAGCGATGCGAGGCACACGGCCTTTTGGTATACAAAATACATGCCCTAACCAGATGACGTATGGAACACGAGTAACTCATCCATCGTGACAGTTCCCCTTTCTTAAGACCATCTGGCACACCTCACCAGACCAGTCTTGTGGTACCACCTTACATTTCACAAGTATGAAGCACCTGAATTCTAAATTTAAATGGTTACATCTTTAAGGCATCCGAAACAAGGAGAACAATATCGCCGCATACTCAACATCTGTGAGGAAACACTCCGAAAACACTTCTACACCTGAGGTTCCTTAGGCAAGCAGAGGATCTTCAAGCGACACTTCAATAACAAAATTGAAGAGGAACGGGAAGAAACAGCAATCCAGTCTTACAGCACTGAACGTGATGAACTCAGGTGGAACGTTGTCATATGCTGGAGTCGTATACGTCCACTGGAGTTCGCATATAGTGGCCTCACAAGGGATATGAATCTTTAATGGGTATCACAGACCACCAAACGCCGCCAACGTATCTGACGATCGACAGGGTAGGTCAATGAAAGGGCCTACGTTGGGCGTTTGGCCGATGCATTCTTGGCCGCGGGGACACCCAACTGAGTTCGTCCCTCCCAATAATCTGCCTATCTATCCGCGCCAAAACCGCCACACTCCGCGCAGCTAGGCCACACTACGGCCAGGAAACCCAACATGCACCTGATTGGCTGCTTGCCGCTCGTGTCAAGGCTAGCTCTGGGCCGAAAGTAGGATACCAAGAGCCAATCACGATTCGGCGTCCGCTGAGTACTGGCTGCAAATGGTGCTTCCAGAACCCGTCAGAATTTCAAGATTGTTATCGCCGCATACATCCAAGTTGCCCGGGTCGGTTTTGTTCTGTCGTTCAACGGCGTTTGGCCGATGCATTCTTGG